CAAAGCCGCGCATCGCAAAAGAAACCGCACCTGCCAAGATGATTGCAGCCGAAAACATATATGCTTTTTTACGCATTCCGACCCAGTCGATGTTTATTCCTTTGAAGGCATGAGCTGACATTGGCGTAGAAAATTTTGGAGTCATGCCTCTATTAACCATCCAATCCAAAATTAAATGTGCCACCAAAACAGCCGTAAATAGGGTACATAAAATACCGATAATCAACACGATAGCAAACCCTTTTATCGGACCCAAGCCAAAATAATACATCACCAATGCAATGAGCAAGTTCGATATATTGGCATCAATAATGGCAGGATAAGAGTTTTTAAACCCATCATTAATCGCTTGCGCCACAGTTTTGCCTTCATCTAATTCCTCACGCACCCGTTCATAAATAATAACATTGGCATCAACAGCGGCAGCCATCGTCAATACGATACCTGCAATGCCGGGTAAGGTTAAGACAGTTCCTAAAGACGTTAGTACACCAATAATCAAGAAAATATTAATTAAAAGCGCGATAACAGAAACCACCCCACCTGTGCTATAATACATAATCATTACGCCAATAATTGCCACCAAACCGAGCAATAATGAAAGCAATGATTTATTAATATTTTCTTGCCCCAGAGAAGGACCAACCACAGATTCTTGTACAATCCTTGTTTTGGCAGGAAGTTTTCCAATTTGTAGTATTTTTGCCAAATCTTCGCCGTCTTGCAACGTATAATCGCCTGTAATTTGAGAATCGCCACTCGTAATTGGATTAATAACTCGCGGAGCAGACACCACCTTATCATCTAATACAATCGCAATTTCACGGTTATTATCTTGTGCGGCTTTAGTTGTCATTTCGCCCCAAGTTTTCGCGCCCTTATTATCCATCTTCAACGAAATTGCTACTGCACCACTTTGTGGGTCAGGGTTGGCAGAAGCATCAGTCACGCGGTCGCCTTCAAGTGGAGCTTCTTCGCGCCCTTTACTTTTTTTGATAGCATAAAGCTCATATTGGTTGCCTACTTTATCTGTAGTCGCACTTTTGATTGCTTTAGTTGACCATTTAAAATCCAAATCGCGTGGAAAAAGCTGTTTTACTTCTGCTTTTTCTAAATACGAAGTAATTTGCTCTATTTTATTTTTATCAGCAGTTGCAATCACCGCAGGTGAATTGGTCAACTGTCCTGCTGCTCCATTCAAATTTAAAAGGTTTAATAAAGGTCCTTGCCCTTGAATATTACTCGCCTTAGCAACACGAGTAGAATCGATAATTCGGCCAGTTGTGTCGCGTTTATATTGCCAAACAGAATCAACTTTGACAATTTTAGTCGTATCGCCCGAAATTAAACGCTTCACTTTTTCATCAGCACTCATAAATGCAGGCATAATGCCTGGGTCGCTGACGCGGTAAACGTCCCAAAATTCCAATTTTGCGGTGGCTTGAAGCATATTGCGCGCCCGTTGAGGGTTATCTACACCCGGAAGTTCTACAACAATCAAATCACGAGCTGCATCAAGCGAGACATTTGGCTGCGTAACACCGAGTTCATCAATACGATCTTTGAGGCGTTTATAAGTCAAATCAACCGTTTCATTAGCTTTAGCACGAAGCTGACGAAGCACTGCATCATCGGAACTTTCAAAAGTGAGTTTCATGCCTTCATTTTTTTGGAAAATACTGGCTAATTTTTTGCCACCAGCGATTTTTTGAAACTCTTGCCCAAAAATAGAAATTAAATCGCCTTGAGTTGTTTTTTGACGCTCGACAGCCGTGTTAAGTGCTGTGATAAAGGTTTCATCTTTGTTATTGCCCGACATGGAGAGCAAAAAATCCTTTAAATCTACTTGAAGCACAACACTCATACCTCCTTTTAGGTCAAGCCCCAAAGCCAACTGGTTGCGCTTTAGGTCTTGATAAGTATAATTTTTAATTAATGGAATGCTTACGATAGTTTCGCTGGACATAGAATCCAAGAAGCGTGCTTTTGCAATTTTCATTACAGCGTCTTTGCTGCCATCAGCGGCTTTAGAAGCCTCTGATTGAGCATAAGCATTCGCTGCATTTTCCACTTTCGCCGTAGGTAACGTTATCAAGTATTGACCGATAGATACCACACACAACATTAACAGGAAAAATTTGACAATCCCTTTACCTTGCATGATGTATTAAATTTTTTAAATTTTAAACTTTTTTATAATATTAAATGAAAAAACGTGCAAATATACGGGTTTTACTTTAAACTTGCTGGTTTTGTTGCAAGTCTTTCAGAAAACTTTATTCAAAGGTTCTTTTTCGGGCATTATTGCGCCAATTTTGCCTTAATTCGCGTTTTTTTTATAAAAAAATTAATCCATAAGATTTTGCATATTTTTCAGTTGCTCAAATTCTCTAAATCCCATATTAGAAAAATAAGGCATCAAAACTGACCAAATGGCATCTCTAAAATCCAAAAAATCTAAAATATCCTTTCCTAAAATAGATTGTTGATACAGCCAAAAATCGTAAGTTGCCCAATAGCGATAGGCTAAACGGTTAATATATTTTTTATCAGGATTTTCTATAAAAAATGCACTTCGAGATACGTTAAATTGAAGCATGATTTCGATTTGTTGGATTTGCCATTGAATGTGTTGGCGATGTGCTACTTTGATGTCAGGATAAGCCCGCATCACTTCGAGCGTATCTAAGTAAAAAAAAAGATAAGTTTGTTGTAGCTCAAAAGTGCTTTTTATTTGGCGGTCAATATCTTCAAAAAGGGGCACTACACGAAATTCTGCCAACAAAATCTGTTGTTTTTTCATCAATTCTTGCCATATTGCATACACCATTACCTCCTTCGTGCGATAATGATACGCTATATGCCCGATGCTGAAAAATGCTTCGTCTGCAATATGTTGTAATCGTACATTGACCAGCCCGTCGCGGTTAAACAACTTCAAGGCGGAATCCAATATTTTTCGGCGTGTAGCAATTACAGACATAAATGATTGATAATTAGTTTTTTATGAAAAAGGCAGAAAACAATTTTTAAGTTGTTTTCTGCCTTTTTGCTAAAACAAGATATTCAATTTTAGAATTTAATCGTCAATTGACTATTAAATACAGTACCCAATTGGCTAAATTGAGAACCATTATAACCCAAAATATCATAACGACCGCTAAAGCCTAAGAAACCTCTTAATAAACTTTTTGCTGCTGCATTATCAAGCACTTTTTGTCCATCAGAATCTAATGCTACCAAATCCCATTTAGGCAAAATATTGAAGATATTATTAATACCAACATTTAGGGCTATTTTATCGCTAAAATTGTAACCTATGTTCAAATCTGTAACCACTGCTGGTTTAAATTCCGCTTTTAAATGAAGCATCGCATTACTTTTTGGGTCTGTTACGCCTGTCACATTTAAAACCGCAAAAGGTTGACCATTATCCAAATCTTGGAAGGCAGTTTTACCAAATAAGGTATTATTTAAGTTAAAAATAAACTTGCCTATTTGATAATCAAAACCCAGAATCGCTTTGTATTTCGGGCGGCTCTCGGTCAATAAAGATTTGATTTGAGTGCTCAATATTGTAGAACCTGCTGCTTTAACTGGAGCTGGGTCATTAGGCGTACCTACGATTTCGTTTTTAAGCATATAGTTGCCAGCAAGATTAATAGCTAATTTGCCTGTGCCTAAAGTCACGTTGCGATAGCTCGCTACAACGTCAAGCCCTTGAGTTCGGCTCTCAATACCGTTGATAAAGAACTGTGCGGATACAACGCCTGCTTTGCTTAAAATCTGACCTAATGTGCTATTCGGGTCGCTTGAGCGAATAGAAGAGCTATATACAATTCTATCTTTTACATCAATATTGAAATAATCTAAACTAATATTAAAGTTTTTAGTTGGGTTTAATCCGACACCAAAAGTGATATTGGTTGATTTTTCTGGTTTTAACAACGGAATACCCAATAAACGTGCTTGAACGCTTCTGTTATTAAATAAACCTGACAACTGAATAGTACCATCTACAAAAGAAGACTGAACTGTTTGGGCATAAATTTGGTGCAAAGATGGCGCACGGAAACCCGTAGAAACCGAACCTCTCAAAACCACTTTATCCTCTGCAAATTTGTAACGAGAAGATAATTTCCAAACCGTAGCTGTACCAAAATCAGAATATTTTTCTGAACGAACCGTACCATTTATCAAGAAATCTTTGGTAAAATCATAGCTTAAATCAATATATCCACCCAAGTTGAAGCGGGAGTTTGAGCCTGCATTTGCAGCGTTTGTACCCGGAAATGAGTTTGCACCCTCGCCTTCATAGGAAGCCGCATCGCCAGCCACAATTGTATAAGTTTCTGACCTTGCTTCTGCACCAAACGAAAGGATAAACGCATCTGTAAGGGCTTTTGATACATCTATATTTCCTACAAGATGATGAAAACCATAACCACCCGGCTTAAAGCGTGTTGGGCTGGCTGTACCCAAAGAGCGATTTACAGTATTTTCTACGGTATAAGATTGAGTATTTCCGCCTGCGGTTAAGCTAATATCGTGTTTCCAACCATGGGTTTCATCTTTAAAACCCGCAGTAGCATTATAATCTATCAAATTACCTTCAAAGGTAGGTACATAACCAACATAGCCCTTGTAAAGATTCACATCTTTGTCATAAGCAGGTGCATTAGCTAACATACCTTGAGTTATAAAATTAATACCACCATTATCTGTTACATTGTGCAATAAACCTACATCACGTCTCCAGTATGGAGTACGATAATTGGCATAACTCAATACACGTTTGGTTACTAATGCACCGTTGGTATAAAATTGACCATGTTCGCCGACAGGAATACCAGCATTAATTAAAAATTTACCAGCAGCAATGTCCCCAGTACCATTAATGTTGCCACCAGTTGGGTTATATGCTAAAAATTTGCGAATACTTGCATCACTTTCTGCATCACCACCGAATGTAGCAATTTCAGTCGGAATATCAATAATACCAGAGCGAACTGCGCTGTTTTGTTGGCTAAGTGCAACGGTATAATTGATAAAACCATCCTTACCAAAATTTGCACCACTATTCAAGGATGCGCCATAAGTAGCACCATCACCCTTATGAGTAATACCAGCATTAATATTCAAAGCACTATATTCGTAGTGGTCTTTCAGAATAACGTTCATAACACCCGCAATCGCATCAGAACCATATTGAGCAGAAGCACCATCGCGCAAAATTTCGACCCGTTTAATCGCATCTTGAGGAATGGCAGAAAGGTCAACACCTGTTTCACCACGACCTGGAGAAAATTGCACATACAACAATGAACTTAAATTTTTACGTTTTCCATTTATCAAAATCAAAGTACGGCTGGGTCCCATATTCCGAATTTCGTAAGGGTCTAAAAGTGTTGTCGCATCATTTACTGGTGTATTTACAGTGTTGAATGAAGGTACACGATATTGCAAGGCTTTATCAAAAGAGGTTTGACCCGTAGATTTCAAATCATTTGTTCCTAAAACATCAATCGGCAAAGGATTGTCAATAATAGTTCTTTGCGCACTACGCGAACCGACCGAAATAACCACCTCTTGCAACGCATTTGCCTCCGTCACCAATGCAATATCTACCACTCCATTAGCAGGAATCGCCACTTCTTGGCGGGCATAACCGATATAAGAAATGACCAAAGTTGTAGCAGATGCTGGTGCATTGAAGCTAAAACGACCATCGACATCAGTTACAGCTCCCGAAGTTGTACCTTTGGCAGAAACGTTGACCCCAATCAAAGCATCTCCATCTTTTTCTTTAACCGTTCCTGAAACGACACGATTTTGGGCAACTGCTTGCACATTTGCAAGCAATATAAATCCGAATAGTAATAGAAATAATTTCTTCATGTTTGTAATAAATTTTTTAATAAAATAATAATTCTTGTTTTTATTGGCTCAATTTGATAACTGACAAAATAAAATTTTAAAAACAGCTTATAGCGCGTAAAAATAATAAATTAGATACGAAATATAATAGTCTGAAAAAAATTTCTACAAACTATTTTGGATATGTTAAAGAGTTATGAGTTATGAATTAAAAATTACGAATTAATTAAAATTTAATAAATATATTATTGATTATTAATTATTTATATATATACACAACGGAAAATGGTATTGGGATTTTAATTTAAGTCAAACAATCTAAATTTACTACCGATAAATTGTGCAATTTCGTTAGCAGTATCTTTTTATTGTCAAAAACCTTACAATTGCAGCAGA